TATTTTATGCCATCAATTTAGGAAAAATTTACATCAGCAGTAATAGGAAGCCTACATTGTAGTAAACAATACCTGAGTATCATTTTTTGCAAAAACAACTGACATGTGAAAGTACCTGCATATAAGCAAGTTGGAGAACTAGTTTTTATCTTTTTCTCCTTTTATCCGATACCTGGCAAATAGTGGCAAATAGTCCTAAATATACAAGATAATTTGTAATACCTTTTTCTAACCCAATCCTAGGCTTTTCAGGGCTTTTGTATGGTTGCTTCCTAGGCCTCAGCAATGCCTTTATGGAAAGAAAGCACCTGCCCCCCTCCATCTGTCTTTAAATGTAGTTTTAGCCTGAATACTAGCATATGAAGTTTTGGGTGATGATCATCATGAAATGGAATCAGTGTTTATAGTTTTAGAGCAGTTTCTCCACCTCAGCACTCTAGAGATTTGGGCTCAGATTTATTTGTTGTGAGGGCCCGTTCTGTGGTTGGCAGGATATTTAGCAATATTCCTAGCCTTGTCCATGAGATGCCAGCAGCAGCCTCTCCTCAGTTCACCTGCCTCTGTCACAGGCATGACAAAAATGTCTCCAGGACATTTGTCCCTTGAGGGACAAATCAATTTTCCATCATCAATCTTCCACCTTGCTCTACAGAGATAAAGTTATAGACACAGGGCTGGGGATTTAGCTCAGCTGCAAAAGCACCTGCCTGGCAAGCGCAAGGTCGTGAGTTCGGTCCCTGGTACCGGAGAAAAACCAAAAAAAAAAAAAAAAAAAAAAAAGTTATAGACACAATACTAACAAAGATTTTGAGAAGTACTGCCTCTTTTCTAAAGTTACACTACTGGACTGTCCACTTTCTAAAAAGGTTGTGACTTGCCCAAGATCAACTAGTTAGTGGCCTGGTCAGTGGCTATAGACAAGTCTAACATCTCCTTAGACTACTAAAATTGACTCACTTTTTTCTATAAGCACTAATTAGTTTCCATAGCTTCATTCACATATGCAACAACTCAAATAAAGCACATAAGTGGACCTAGTTTTTTTTGTCCTTCCAGGTTTTACTTTTCAGACTTTTGTGAGTAAAATTACTTCTAATAGTGACTTTCAGGAAAACACTTCTGCTAATTAGTACTGGTGAAAGGACAGAGATATAAGGAGCCAAACAGGTAACTCCCACAACACCGATCCCTTCCTTTTCCTTGGATGGAGAGCCTTGTTACTTACTTCTTATTCAGAGAGGGATAGGGATTGAGAAGTCCCTAAGTCCCTCCTTCCCAGATAAGAAGGTTGCTCTTCAAACTTCCTCTGAGATTTCATCATCAATAAGCCATCAGTTGCCCAGGGTTGGTTTGTTTTGTTAATTTGCAGTTCTATTTTTCCTGAACAGTGAAGTAAGATCAATAGCAACCATGGGGATTTCTAGGTTCCTCCAATCTCGACTCTTACTTGAATTTGAAAGCATAACAATGCCAGCAGAATTAATTAAATTGCTGTCACTGTTTTTCTCTAATCTACCACTCACTCACACACTCCTATGTTAACACACATTGAGATCAGCAGAATACATATTTACATATGCACCCACCTATGCTTGAAGGAGAATATGCTAATTTTTCTTCATTTGTATCTGTGGTTTCTGATCACTTGGAAGCATATTTAAAGATGACAGGGATGGTCAGATAACTATGCTTTCTCAAAATGCTGAATGTTAAGCACCTTGAGAAATCTTTGTCAGCCTTCTGAAAACATGAGGCATTCCTAAATGATTAATCAATAACCTAATCAAAATTTAATCTATAATTCAAGAGGAGTAGGATACCACAGCTATTTAATTTATTTGGTATAGCTTACCTAAAACCAAAAATGGAGTTTAAATCCCTGGGAGGAAGAGCTTTCACTGTGGTAAGAGAGGGGTGTCTGACCCAGCTTTCCTGGCTCAACTACTGTATGACAGGCATTAGGCACAGCTCTACCTGCTAAATGTTGTGGAAGGAGTCATGGGCCATGGAGGGTTATGTGTATTAAGGGTCCAGCATTCAGTCAATACCTTTCAGTCCGTCTTCACAAATACACCCAAAAGAAAAGATAATGCCTGTGTCTCAGAGGCTGCATGTTTATCATGGGACTGTCGAAACTCCCTCGTTGCAGCCTCTATCATCAAACTACTTACGTTGTGATTATTCAGGGGTCCAAGGACATTGACAAAGAAGCCTAGACATTCTTTCTGCCCCGCTAGCCCCAGCATAAGTAGACTCTGGGCATTGTGTCAGGAACTCTAATATGCCAAATATGACATCTCAGCCTATATCTCCCACCTCAATGGCAGAGGTTCATGCAGCAGATGGGTCCCTATATCCTTAAGGTAGATGCAACCCCTTTTTTATGTGACACAATTTATGCCCTGAAATTCAGGGTAGCCAATGCACAGACTCTATTTGCAAACAATAAGACTGATGCCACACCTCAAAACTGTCACCTGCCTCCTGTATCTGTGAGGTGGACTGATCATATTTACTATGCATTGATCATTGACAATATGGCTGGCATTGTGGTAAATGCCTACAATGTTTTACCATCTGAGGCTCCCAACATTCCCATGAGGTAGGCACTACTATTTTTCCCAGTTTTAAAAAGAAAAAACTTAGGTCATATTTGCCCAAGGTCAATCAAATTATCCAAATTTCATTATCTTACTCACATAAGCATTGGGATACCATAAACAAAAAAAGTAGCAGAAATGCACATTCGGGAAGCGAAAAGAACTACAGAGATTTAGCAACCAACGTGACTCTTGCCACACTTCACAGTTTAGAAAGATTCAGTGTTTCACCTGTGGCCCGAGAAGTGGGGAGATGTAAGCCCAGACCAAGCCTCTGGTTTCTGAACCCTTGGCGACACCTCCAGGGACCAGCCTGTCAGTCTGCAGTGACACTGGCCCGCTCTTCCGTCTCAGTCTGCTCTCTTCCCATACATGGAGTGCACTCGCTGCGTCCTCTGAATGTGTTTGGGTGATGCCGGGAGGAAGGAGCAGGTCGTTGGCTTTGCGTTTCCTGTTGGGTGGGAACTAAGAGCAAGAAGGTCTGAGAGAGCGTAGAACTGGAAACTATCTTTTGATAAACAGGATTAGAAATGGAAAGGAGCTTTGAAAGAGTAAAATATCTATGCAAATGATGTTATTTTTTAACCCATGGGAACTGTGGTGTCCAACAGAGCTTTCCAGGACTCCAGGCCTGACAGCTCCAATTTGGAATCTCTGCACACATACTTAGCAACCCACACAGAGCCCAGATTCTCTTTCAATCTGAAGACGCCGGATTAGGGTTGCAAACATCCTCTCCTCCCTCTGTCCTTTCTTGTCTTTCATGGTTGGACAACTGGGCTCTCATCTCTAGCAAATTGGGGAGAGACCCAAACATTCCCTCAGTGGGAACAAAAGCAGCAAAAGGACAAATAATGAAACTGCCATTCACATGACAAGCTTCACATTTCACTTTTCTCTCCTCCTTCTCCACGCTTTGCTTCATTTGGAAAGAAAACCTATTTTTAAAAGCACCAAACCCCTTTTCTGTCAGGGAGCTTGGCAGGATTGATAAATAAGGGGAGTCATCTTAATGGGGGTGCTGTCAGCAAACTCCTTTTTTTAAACAAATAAATGTGAGAAATGAAAACATTCAAGAGGCCCTAGTATGCTGTAGGAGAAAAAATAAATAAAAGATTCATCTGCCCCACAATATGGGACTGGACTTGGCTCAAATGAACCTCACTTGCTATTGGAAATTCTTGTTAATTAGCATATCAGAACTAATCTGGTCCCTTCCTTCATCTTGCTCAAAGAATGATTTTTACAGAACATTGTGCTGCTTTTTTCGGCACAATTCTCAGTCCACCCCATTTCCTGTCTGTTTTCTGGCGGGCTCCAGGTGTTTCCGTCTGCTTGAACACATGTCTGGTAACCACAGATCTGCTGGGTTTAAATAAGAATCAAGACTGCTCTGGTTTATCTCGATGCAGACGGCGCCACTTGTCAAGCTCAAAAATGCCCATCGGCGTAAAGGATTTAGGGAAAGCAGAGGATTGAGTGAGGAACAAGAGACTCGCATGTTGAATGAGCCTTTGAGGAAAACCGGCTAGATCAATCAACTGCAAGACATCACTGGTATCCTTCTCCATCTCTAACAAAGGAGTGCAAAGGCTGCCTCACTCCACCTCCTTCCACACACAGCAGGCTTCTGAATCTCATTCAGATCAGAGAAGAAGCCTGGACCACTTGACTGAAAGGAGAATTTCAGTTCAAAGACCTGTGTTCTCAGAGCATAACTATACAACCAGATTCCTAACTGGAGTCTGAGGCAGTAAGACTGCCATAAAGAGTTATTTGCCATAACTTGAATACCTGAGTCAGTAAGACTGCCATAACTGTTATTTCCATAGAGTGTTAGTCAGCCTAACAAGATACCTGAGATAATCAACTTATTAAGGAAAAAGGTTTATTTTGGCTCACAATTTCAGATGTTGCTTTGGCTAATTGGCTCTGTTGCTTTTGGTTCCATGGAAACACAGTATTTCATGGCAAGAGCACATAGCACAGGAGATCCCTTCACCAAGTGGTAGCTGAGAAACAAAGGGACAAGAAGGGGCTGGGGTCTGATAGTGTGTTTAAGGATACACCCCAGTGATATCACTTCCTCCCACTAGGCCCTACCTACTGGGAGTCTCTACCACCTCCCAGTGGTACCATAGGCTGGGAATGAAGCATTTAATACACAGGCCTTTGGGAAACATTTCTCTAAACCATAGCATGGGGGTCATCATCAGGGCAACCAATATATGCTTTGCCACTGAATACTATGTAGCACCCTTCATGACTTGGCTTATGTTGTTATTTAAAAGAAAGTCAATATCCCTCAAACTGTGTGCTGCCACAAAACTTTTAAGATTTCTGGTCAAGTGATCTGTCAGAGAATTTAAATGCTCATCAAACTTGTTCTTCTTATTCTAGGTTCACAGCTAAAATATATCTCCAAGGTCTCTTACAATGAAAAGAGGCCCTAAGACAGAGCTTTGCCAAGAAAAGGGGCAGATAGACTTCTTGCCACCAAGGATGGCTCATAAAAGACCCCATGCAAGCCTCCTAGTTTTTCTTCCTTCTCGTCTAACACTGTGATGGCAAAATATCCAAATGTCTAGAAAGTAGAAAGAAGTTGATATCATCAATGTGACTGTAGAGCTGAGCTTCTCTGCAAATCTGCATGGAAAGACAAATCTGCATGGAAGACACAAGGAAAACTTTCATAAAATTCATCTGCTGAGATTTCGTGGTTGCATTTAGGCCACCCTGATAAATATAAGCTGGTAACGACAATATCTGTGCTGAGTGTACTGTACTGTGGTGAGCTTTAAAGGTGGCCACACTGATGTCACTTTTTATCTCGGTCTTAGCCAGAAAATATACTGTACAATCATTTGGAGAGGGAGGAGGGACCCCTGGGAACAAGATAGCAAGTACTGAAGATGGTGATTTGTGTTCTCTACATGACATGGTAAAATTAAGTTAGCTTTAGTAGAGGTTAAATAGTGGCGGAAAAAGACAATATAGCACAACTATCATGACTAAGAGAATCCTCAAACCCTTCATGGAAGAAGTTCTAAAGATAAAAAGGTTTTCCACAGTTAAAGAGATGGAAAAGGGTTGAAGTGAAAGAATTCTCTGAGGTAAGCAAAACCGTGGTGTGTTTTCTAGTGGTCTAAGACTGGCAAGTGAACAGCCTGAGGAACAACTAAAAGCTTTTTGAAAAGCCATGTAATCTTTACCAGAGTTTTAGAAAATTCACTTCAGTAATAATATAAAGTGAGAGATCAGAGTTAGGCAGGACATAATAGGTTATTGCAAAAATAAATGTTGAAATGGCCTCCAAGAGACTCCAGTGGACTCAGGATGGCCCTAGTGGTTGAAAATTAGGTTGACACTGCATGCACTGTGCACAGAGTGAGTGCTCCAAGAGCTGCTAGTCCCGTGGTTCAAGTTCTTGCTTTACTCATGCCACCATGGATCCCAGCTGAAACTCGTGGAGAGAGCCAGGTATTTCCCATCTACTTCCTGGGGAAAGAGCAGGCAACCAAGGACCCCGCTGCCATTACAGACTGAGTCTCTGACCTCCGTGCACCTGGAGCAGAAAGGAGGTCCTCACTCAGTAGCACCAGGGACTGCTCTAGCTGGGGGACATGGGTGGCCCCTCCCTGCACGTGCCCAGTGCCAAGTGAGTAAGTGCTCCAAGAGCTGCTGGTCCAGCGGTTAGAGTTCATGCTTTACTTGTGCCTGAACCCCCTAGGGGGTCACAGGCATGGGCAGTCTGTGATTACTGCCCGGCCAACCTGCATCTGGTTCCTGTATGTGTCCTGAACTGACTGGAGACACAGAATCAGGTGGTATACAAACTGTCAACCCTGCAGTTTGTGTCTGGGTTTTGTCTGTACCCTGAACTGCCTGGGGACATAAGCCCACTGGGCCAGGAGTGTCACACCAGTGCAACCCGAGTCTGGGCCATGCACATGTCCTGAACTGCAAAGGAATGCTGGATCAGATGGTCTGCCATCAGCTGCCAACAAAGCCCACGTCTGAGACCTGGGATAACTAGATACAAATCAACAACTCCT